TAAAAATAATGGGCCAGAGAGATGGCTCAGCAGTTAAGAGCACAAAGGGCTCTTGCAGAGGACCTGAGTCTGGTTCCCAGCATCCACACTGGGAGACTCACAACTTCCTATAACTCCAGCTCCAGGAGACATGATGTCTTCTTCCGGACTCATTGGGTACCTCCACTTACATGTGCGCACACACACACACACACACACACACACAGAAATAAAACTTTAAAAAATGAGCAAAACTTGTTAAAATTGCTACAAGTTATGTTGTCCATATTCCCTTACAAAAACCTGTTTACAGCAATTTAGCCCTATGCACAATCGGAGGAACACTCATCGGCCAGATCCTGTGCAAGTGACGCAAAACACAGGGTAAAGACAGAAAGGCCCCACAGACAGGCATTCAGAGCGGCCATCAGCATCAGACACCAGATCAGGCAGAACAACCCACGCTGTTCCTTCCACTTTTGGAGCCCGGTTTTAGGAAGAGGAACGAGCACAAATCTCAAAGTCCAGGTCACAATAATCTCGCTGTGATTACAGTGTGAGGGACTACAGTCTTGTCTAAATTGGAGTTTAATGTGATCCAAATATACCCTGCTTTTTTCTCGAGAGCTAGCGAATCGTAGTGGTTCATTTCGTGGCTCTGTCTGGTTTGCATCCCCCCTCGTGGTCTGCCCTTGCTTGTGTAACGGGCTGACTGGGAGTGGAGAAGCAAGAATCTCCCAGTTTCTCCTGTTGCAGATGTCCAAGATATTGTCAGGATGAAAATACATGGTGAGGCAGTAACGGGGGAGTGCGGGTCGGCAGCTTTGTGGAGGTGGGGGTGGCTTTCTGCTCTTCTTCCAGGGTAAAGCAGGAAACACCAGGTTTAAATGAACAAAATCAGCCTGGAGGGGAGCTGTGGTATTTGTGAGGCTAATGTTCACCTTGTAAAGGCAGCGCTCCTTACCACAGGGCCAGTCCTCTGAGCAGGGAGCTGGGAGAACAGCATGTCCTGCTTAGAGGGGCAGAGTCCAGCTACAGATCTGGAAACCTAGTGTTTCCAATCAGACTTCAGCTCTCTGTCCCAGGAAAGGAAGCACAGACCTCTATTAAGCACACCTTCTTCTGGGCTTGCTGTAAAAAAAAAAAAAAATGGCGAAGTGTGAGCCCAAGATCTACTAGTCTCTCGAGACTGAGTGAGGGGGAGGCTAGGGAACGGGATGTGGCTTGTTGGCCCTCGTGCTAACCTAGAAGAGCTGGTGGTGCCAGGCAAAGCCCTCAGCCCGGGGTTCGAGCACCAGTGGGATGAGATAGTGGCTCCCCATAGGTGCTCGCCCTGCAGGCATCTTCTGTTTGCTGTCCTTGTTGGCAAGAGTTATGTGCCATATGCCAGAGTAGGAATTCAAACCCGTAGGGAATGTGCGTGAGTTGAAAACCTATGTGGTATATTCGTGTCAATCAGTGCTGTGTTTCTGTAAATAACCTTCACGACTTTGAACGGTGCCCTGAGAACATCACACCAGTTCAGGCAGCATCCAGGACACCCAGGGAAGACGATTATTTCCAGGCATCAGCTTGATTCCCTCTGCAACCCTGCCTGTGCACACCAAAAATTTATGTGGAAGAGTTTATTCTTGCAGACTTTCCAGAACTCAGCCAGAAGATATCCCCGAAGCCATAGTTCAAAAGAAGAAATCCCACTTGTTTTTAATCTGAGTGCAAATAAAATCAGAGGTTGATGTTCATATATCACAGGAGAGTTGTTTTGCAAGAGCAATAAAAGGAGATGATGGAACCGGGAAAAATGGACACTCAGCAATGGGACCAAGAATAAGCTCTCCGTGCTGACCTTTTGGTCAGAGCCACATAATGCAATTTGTGTCATCCCCTCTGGATACTTGTTTTTATTGGTTTCTGGGAATCTGTTCTTAAGCTGTTATGGTGAAGTAAGATGTTCAGCTCTTGTCATTGCCCAATGTCTACCTTCTTCATAAGACCTTGTATTAGGGACTGTACATGGAGGTCTTTCCCCTCAGGAGATTGCATTCCGGCCCCACCCCTGGCTTACAAATGGCATTTCAGTTGGTCATCACCTAGAGACTTCTGACTGATGGCTCTCTTCATTAAGAGTCCTGATGAGGGGCTGGAGAGATGACTCAACAGTTAAGAGTGCTTACTGCTCTTGCCCAGAACTGGAGTTCAGTGCCCAGCACCCATGCTAGGTGGCTCCTCTTACGACCACCTGTAACTCCAGTTCCAGAGGATTTTATGCCTTCTTCTGCCCTCCAGGAACATTTTCATGCACATGTGCATGCACACAAAAACCACACACACACACACACACACACACACACACACTAAAAATCTTTTTTAAGAAAAAGAACATTTATGGAGGCTGGAGAGATGGCCCATCAGTTAAGAACCCTGGCTGCTCTTACAAAGGACCCAGGGTTGGTTCCTGGCACCCACATTTTGGTTAACAACTCTCTGTAACTCCAGTTCCAGGGAGATCCGATGCCCTTTTCTGGCCTCTACAGGCATTGCATGCACAGGTCCACTTAGATACATACCAAATAGCAGATGATGCTGGTACAATGAGAAGGGCCCAGAGACCTGGGGGCCCAGGTTTTGGAGGCCACAATGGCTTCTGTGGAGGATTTGGTAGTGGTAATGTGGCCATGGTTGGGGGTCATGGGATTCATGGAGGTAAAACTAAAGACAAGGAGTGAATGCCAGTCACCAAGCTGGGCCGCTTGGTCAGGGACATGGAGCTCAAGTCCCTGGAGGAGCACTCCCTGTTCTCCCTGCCCATTAAGGAAGCTGAGATTATCGACTTTGTCCTGGGAGCATCTCTTAAGGATGTGGTTTTGAAGATCATGCCAGTGCAGAAGCAGACCCAGGCCGGCCAGCAAACCAGGTTCAAGGCTTTTGTCACCATTGGGGACTACAGAGGTCATGTTGGTCTGGGTGTTAAGAGCTCCAAGGAGGTATCCACTGCTATTAGAGGGCCTCTCATCTTGACCAAACTTTCCATTGTCCCTGTGTGGAGAGGCTACTGGGGAATCAAGATTAGCAAGCCCCACACTGCCCCATCCAAGGTGACAGGCTGCTATGGCTCTGTGCTGGTGGCCTCATGCCTGCCTTGAGAGGCACTGGCATCATCTCTGCTCCTGTGCCCAAGAAGTTGCTGCTGATGACCAGTATTGATGACCTCTACACCTCAGCCCAGCTGCATGGCCACCGTGGCCAACTTCACCAAGGCCACCTTTGACGCCATCTCTAAGACCTACAGCCATCTGACCTCTGACCTCTGGAAATAGATGGTCTTCACCAAGTCTCCCTATCAGGAATTCACTGATCATCTTATGAAAATCCATACCAGAGTCATCCATGCAGAGGACCCAGGCTCCAGCTGTGGCTAATACGTAGGGTTTTTATATGAAAAAGAAGTGAATTAAGTCTTTTAGAAAAGAATAATAAAATATTTTTTAATTAAAAACAGCATTTGGGAGGCTGGGCGTGGTGGCGCATGCCTTTAATCCCAGCACTCTGGAGGCAGAGGCAGGCAGAGCTCTGTGAGTTCAATGCTAGCCTGGTCTCCATAGCGAATCCAGGCCAGCTGGGGCTACAAAAAAACCCTGTCTCAAAAAGACCAAAAAAAAAAAGTATTTTTTATCAGAATGGGGCTTTTTCCACCAAGGGGCGGGTCCGTGTTCCTTCTCATGAATCTTAATGATTAAAGCGAAAGTGAGGTTTATAAGCCACTGGAAAAACTGAGATCTCATGAGAACAATCTGCAGCCAGATGTCATTCCAGAATCTGTTGGTGGACACTTCCTAGTGGCTAGGTTCTTGGTTGAGTCCATGTTAAGATGGCATTTTGGTAAGTCACCACATTCCTTAAGGTCACGGGATGCTGGAGAGCCTACAGCTGGATCTGCCCTCCCTCCATGGAGGGCTCCAGGTTTGCTGCCCTGAGACTTCACTTTTCCCTGTGTGCTCTGTATGACTTCATTCGCGTCACGCTGAATGTCAGCCGGAACTGATCATACTCAAATGCCGAGCATAGCATTTGAGCTTCTTCCTGAGCTCCAGCCTCCTCTCCCTAACATCTTCATTGAATGTCCACTGTCCACCTCAGTCAAGGTATGGGGCTTCTAGTGTTTCACCCAAACCTCTTACATTCCTCCCATCTCAGCTACTGAGAACTCTCTCTGTCCAGTTGCTCAGCTTCTTGGAAGTAGCGTTTGAAGCCTCTATTCTCAGCATCCCATATCCTGCCATCCCCACCATCGGAAACCATCCCTTCCCCCACCACCTCAAAGTTCCAAGAGCATCCAAGATTTTCCTCCTGCTCATCACCTGAGTGCTCAGAAGAAACTTGGGACTCAGTCCTTTCTTACCCTTGTCATCACTGGCTTCCTTGCTCAAGCCTCCATTACCCCATGTTTACAGTCCCATGGAAGCTGCTGACTGACCCCCATCTTTCCTCTGTTGACCTCCAATCTGTTGACAAGCTGTCCCTGGAAGGATCCTCTTCCTATTTAAGTCATGACCCATGACTCCCTTCTCAAAGCTCTGTAGTGACTTCACCATCTCAATCCACTGGAATGTAAAAATTTTCTCCGGAAACGTTGAACTCTCATCCACGACTAGACTCCCAGCTCCTAGAACAGCACCTGGTAGATGGAATGAGTGTGCGTCAACATAATTGATAATTGAGTGAGCTGGTTTCTGCTCTTCCTTCTGGAGCACAGCACTGCCCTTGGATCTACTGGCACCTGAGTTTGCCTCCAGGATTTGAGGGACGTTATAAAGAATAATCAGTGAGTGATGGCCTTGTTGCAGTTTCAAAGTTTCCTTAGTTTTTATTTAGTTACATATTTCTGCAAACTGGTTTGAATTCTGTAAGGTCACAATTGTCTCTAAAAAGACTGGTTTTTCTCTGGCCCTTCATGAGTCAGGAAAGCCACGCTATCTTGGCACTGTCTTCTTGTCTCCTCACCCCTGTGTCATTTCCCACAGGCATCAACAGAAGGGTCGTGTATTCCCTGGCGGACTCAGCGGGTGGGTTCTTCTCCATCGACAGCTCTTCTGGCATCATCACACTGGAGCAGCCTCTGGACCGTGAACAGCAGTCATCACACAACATCAGCGTGCGGGCCACCGACCAGAGTCCCGGACAGTCCCTGTCGTCTCTCGTCACTGTCACCATCACTGTCCTGGACATTAACGACAACCCCCCTGTGTTTGAGAAGAGGGACTATCTGGTGACTGTGCCCGAGGATACCTCCGCTGGTACCCAAGTCCTCTCAGTTTTTGCCACCAGCAAAGATATTGGCACAAATGCAGAGATTACATATCTCATCCGTTCTGGGAATGAACAAGGGAAATTTAGGATCCACCCAAAGACAGGTGGGTTAATAACACTCCTGATACATCCTGCTTCTCCCCACCCCCCAGTTGTCTCTAGTGGGATCCCCATCCTCCTCCTTCCTCCCTTGCAGGAGGAACAGTGCTCTGGTGATCGGGTCTTCACGCAGACCTCAGAGCCCTGTTTCTCAGGATGGCCATGTTAAATTCCAGGCTCCATGCTATGGGCTTACTTGGCCGCCATAGGATGTCTAGAAAGCGAGCTTGGAGCACACTCTAGTGAGTGTTTCCTGGGTAGGGAAGGCGGTGAGTGGTGCCTACGTTCAGCCATAGGGTGCACTTGCCTCTCTGTTCTGTTTGCTTGTCTACCTGGATTCTACCAGCATGAGCTGGAAGGCGTGCCTGGAGGTTTGCTTCCTCCGTCCACAGTCCTCAGGCAGATTATCACTTTCTGGTCAGCAGTCGGGGCTGACATTGGCAATGGTCTGCGCTGTCGTCTGCAAGTCTTCACAAGCCTGTATAACAAGTGGAATGTATCAGCTGGCTAGAACTGGCATTGTGTTTAACTGTACTCCCTCTTTATTAGAGCAGCAGCCACACCCATTTCAAACTCTAGGAGAAATGTGTAGCTAAAAGAGAGCCTTTGAGAGAGTTAGTATTAGAGGCATGTTGGGTAAAAAATAAAAATAAATGCGCAACAATCCAAAGAATAAGAGGAGTTGCTACTGGAAGGTCCTGATACTCGTGCATTCCACTGTTTAGCTTTCCATGCAAAAGCTTTCTGTGGGTATTTTCACTGTTTCCAGTTCGCCTATGAGTAGTCCAGATGGTTCCCATTTTACAGGTCAGAAGTGAGTCTCTCACACCTCCTACTTTATCCACTTCCCAGATCACTCAAGGAGTATGCACCTGTTATGGTTGGTCTTTTCTTTAAGTAGTTAGTGCACAGCAAAAAGACGCTGCATGACCAATACCATCCGCTTAACCTGGCAGATGTTCTAGGCTCATATTAAACCCCTAGGTCTGTCTCACATCTTCCAAATGAGAAAAACTGAGCTTTTGAGTGGCTAAATACTTTCCCTCAGCAACCACCATTCAAAGTGGATAGTCCAGGATTTGAATTCAGGCCTTTCTGACTCAGAAAACCACACCTCTAACCCTGAGAAGCATATACTACGAACATGCAAAAATGTAGGTGGTACAGTTCTTGTGTGTCAGTATAAGAAGCCGGAAACTTGCTGACTTCTCCCCACAAGTGGATAGTCCAGGATTTGAATTCAGGCCTTTCTGACTCAGAAAACCACATCTCTAACCCTGAGAAGCATATACTACTAACATGCAAAAATGTAGGTGGTACAGTTCTTGTGTGTCAGTATAAGAAACTGGAAACTTGCTGACTTCTCCCCATAGTAGCTGCTTATTACAGCCACTACTTCTAATTAAATGTGTGGAGATTCCCCTCCATAAGAACTCATTATCCTTGTCCTGTCTAGCGCTGACCATTGTATGTGAACAGCATGGGGAGGTGCTTAAGGACTGTTTGAATTGGCACTGGGTATCCAGACTGGGCTGCAAAACAACAGCAACAGCAGAAATAAAATGCAAACACAGACTCTAGAGGCGGCAGCTCTAAGAAAACTCAATTACTGAGCCAAACGGGCTCTTGGAGGAATTATTTCTGATTCTCATCTTAATTCAAAGGGGCCTATTGGCAGCCTTAGCACTAGGGAAGTTCTCTGTCTAGAACTGTGCAAGGAGATGACTCTTGCTTGTTCTAATGATCGTTTTCCAGGTGACAGAAGGACAAAAGTCCATGGGACCTGCTCTGTGAGCACCCTGAACAGCCTCCAACTTCAGAACACAGCACAGGGCCCTTCACCAGATGGGCTGGGACTAGAAGCATGTACTGGTCACAGAGCCCATCTTAGAGGTGCCCCCAACTAGCTGCCTTCCCTCATTCTACTTGCTTGGTTTAAACAACTCCTTGGTGTCATTATCTGAGTTCTGTGGGTGTGGGCACAACTCATCCTGTGTTTGATGGTGAGGCTGTTTGATTCCCGACAGCTCCTTCTGCCTCCTGTCACTGTGCTTTGGGGTGTCCTGGTCTTTGGCCTCTGTGCATGGTAGTTTTAGATGGGTGCATTACCACTTGGCAAAGCAGCTGTGCAATCTACTCAATTCAGCTGCGTCTGCTGGTGACGCTCGGTGGCTGGAGCAACACCCTGAAGCTGCTCCCGTACATTGCAATCCACTTGCAGTGTCCCTAAGCCCACCTGAAGACCCAGGAGCTTGAAGGATGTCCTAGGACCGTCACGGAAACCTGTGCTTTTAGTGTCTGATGGACAGCTATGCTCTCACTGACAGCATTAATCAAGCTTCTGGAATCCTGGAACGCTTTCAGGGAGGCATTAAATAAACCCCAAGCATGTAAACGTCTTGGCTACAGATGATGTAAATATTGCCACAATGACAGTCCAGCTGACCTATGTTTTTTCTCTAATCAGATCTAAAGTTCCCTATTTTCCTTCAAAGGGGGTATTTCTGTCTCTGAAGCTCTGGACTATGAAACATGTAAAAGGTTTTACCTGGTGGTGGAAGCTAAAGATGGAGGCGCCCCAGCCCTCAGCGCTGCAGCGACCGTCAGCATCAATCTCACCGATGTGAACGATAACCCTCCCCGGTTCAGCCAAGATGTCTACAGCGCCGTCATCAGTGAGGACGCCCTGGAAGGGGACTCTGTCATTTTGGTAGGTGCTAGGAGGGTCAGAATTATGAGGCCAGACATCCTCCCAGTGAAGAAATGAACAAGGTTCATCTTTGTTCACACTTTTGCTTTTCTGTGTGCCTCCAAGAATTCCTGTCAAGCATGGGTCTTTCCCCAGTTCTGTCTCTTGTTTGCATCTTAGAATGGGTCTTTCAGATTGGTGTATGTCAAGGATAATTTGCTAGAAGCTTCATTTTTAAAATCCTTTTGAATTTATTTATTTTCATTTTATGTGAATGAGTGTTATGCCTGTACGTTTGTAAGTGCACCACTGTCGTGTACTTACAGAGGACAGAAAAGGGCATCAGAATCCCTGGACAGTTGTTAGCCACAATGTGGGTGCTGGGATTCAAACCCAGATCTTCTGCAAGAACAGCCAGTGCTCTTAACTGCTGAGCCATCTCTCCAGCCCCAGCAATTTCTTTTCTTAAAAAAGTGTGCACCTTTAAAGAAAACACAGTAGATCCGAGAATGAATTTTTAAAGATAAATAGGCCCAACTCATAGGAATAATGTCACCCACATTCAGTATGGGTCTTCCCACCTCAGTTAAACTGCTCTGGATGCCCTCACAGAACTTGGAGCTGTGTCTCCAGGTCATGCCAAATCCAGTCAGGTGGACAATGAAAATGAACCAGCACAAGAGGATAAGACCACTATTCGCAGAATTGGGAATGGGTCATGAGTCAACCCCATCAGTTAGCTTTGGGCTTTGTCCTTACCGTCTTAAATCCTGATGAAAATTCAGCCTATAAGAAGTGTCAGGCTCTGAACAGGTGGAAAATAAGAAGGAAAAGTAACAGGGTTCTCTGTGAGGGCCCGTCTTCTTCATCCCATCTATCACCTCCTATACTGGAGACTGATCATGGGTACTGGACAGCATAGGGCATGGGACATTGTCAATCAGAGACCCTAAGAATCAGCTTTAGACACTGTCAGCCAGAGACACTAAGCCTCAGTCTTAGACACTGTCAATCAGAGACCCTAAGAATAGGCCTTAGTCACTGTCACTCAGGACCCTAAGCATAGACCTTAGATACTGTCACTCAGGACCCTAAGCATGGACCTTAGACACTGTCACTCAGGACCCTAAGCGTGGACCTTAGACACTGTCACTCAGGACCCTAAGCGTGGACCTTAGACACTATCACTCAGGACCCTAAGCGTGGACCTTAGACACTGTCACTCAGGACCCTAAGTGTGGACCTTAGACACTGTCACTCAGGACCCTCAGCGTGGACCTTCGGCCCTTCTTCTCACACTCTGTCATGTTTATTTTCCATGAAGCTAATCGCAGAAGATGCGGACAGCCAGCCTAATGGACAGATTCGTTTTTCCATTGTGAGTGGGGATCGGGACAGTGAGTTTGCTGTGGATCCCATCTTGGGGCTTGTGAGAGTTAGGAAGAAGCTGGACCGAGAACGGGTAAGCCAGTTAGGCCGTCCACACCTACACTGTCCCTGGATTTAGGCTCAGGCTCTGGATAAATAGCAAGGAGGTGCTGGTAGGGTTGGGTTAGATGTCTGAAAGAATTTTCTATTGATAATAGCTGTTGGTGATTTCTTATTCTGAAGATCTTAAAGGGAAAATATGTGCCTTTCTGGATAGGTTGAATACATGTCTTCAAAGAGAAATTAAATATAGAACTGATGTCCTAACAGTGATGCTGAAAGCAGACTGAACCCTCCAGGTGATAGAGCCCCCTAACCCAGGAGTCTACAGATCCACAGTGACAACTGCATAGAATAAAGGCTCAGAACCAGAGTTCCATGGAGAGGTGGTTCCTTCCCTCAGGGAACAGTGGCAGTATTGGGAGGCATCTTGGTTGACAGACTAGATGGAGGGTGGTACTGTGTCCTAGTGGGCAGAGGTCAGGCTGTCTGCTAAACATCCTGCAGAATAGTCTACACACACAGAGAAGGATCCAGCCCCAAATGTTGATGGTGCAGAGGCCTATGGAATCCAGGGGGAGTCCGGTCTTTAACGTGGCACAGCCAGAGACCGCAGGTTATCTGAGCATGCTCAGAAGGGAGGGGCACCGTGGTTCCTTGCTTCAGGCTCTATACCTCGGCAGGTGTCCGGATACTCTCTGATTGTCCAGGCGACAGATAGTGGCTTTCCTGTGATGTCAGCAACCACAACTGTCAACATTGATATTTCTGACGTGAACGACAACAGCCCGGTGTTCACCCCCGCCAACTATACTGCTGTGATCCAGGTAAGAAACCTTGTCTTCCAGGCCCTGCCTGTGCGAGCTCAGCATCCTTCCTCTGCTCTGGTTTGCTGCCTTGGGGCTGCCAAGCAAACACCTTAGAGTAGTAGATTCGTATTCAGCCAGAGTTTCCTGTGACAGGCTCAGAGGCTGAGGCGTCCAAGATGAAGGCTTCCTCCTGTCTCATGTGTGGGGTGGCTTCTTTCCTTTCCTAATGGTGACTACGCACTGTCCTGACAGCTGAAAGGACAAACACGTCCCTTAGATGAGCACACTAGCGCCTGGAAAGGCCCCAGCTCTTAGTACTACTGCATCAGGACTGAGGTACAGCCTACGAGTTTGTGGCAAGCACAGGCATGCAGAGGTGGCACTCACTGGGTTACATTATAGTTACTGTTCAATGTCAACTTGTCCCTTGCTAGGGTAAGTGTGAGAACAGTCTGATTCTTCAGCCACAATTTTTAATAAGAACTACTAGTGCCCCTTCTCCTAAGTGTTAGATGCTCCATACACACCACCTGTCCCCACCACGACCTGTCAGGGAGGATGGTAGACTAATACTCCAGCCTTCACCCCATGCCTTATTGTTGAAAGAGCCAAGGATCTATGAGTGTTATGATTGCCTTTGATTGCTGTGACAAAACACTCCGACCAATACCAGCTTGGGGAGGAAAGGGTTTATTTGACTTATTTGACTTACAGCTCCTGGTTCACAGTTCATCAGGGAGTCCAAGGTAGGAATTCAGGGCAGGAACCAGAGGCAGGAGCTGAAGCATAGGCCACGGAGGAACGCTGCTTACTGGCTTGCTCCCCTGGCCCCTGCTCAGCCTGCTTTCTTATGCAATACAGGCCCACCTGCCCAGGGGTGGAACCACCCACAGTGGGCTGGGCCCTCCCACATCACTCAGCAATCAAGATGGTGCCCACAGACATGGCCACATGCCAGTACTATGGAGGAAATTCCCCCAGTTGAGGCTCCCTCTACCCAAGTGTGTCAAGTTGACAACTAAAGGTATCCAGGACAGTGAGCTTGAGAAATTCACCCAAGATCACACAGCTGGTAAGGGGGAATCAAGATCTGAACTTGGATCTGTTCTGTAAATATAAATACGCCTGCTCCTTCTACAGTGACAAACTATTTCTAAGCAACTTTGAGCTCTTTTGGCAGGGAACAGAGATCAGTGTGAACTATCCCATAAGTCAGAGAAAGACTGGATCTTAGGACAGAGCTGCTTCTCTTTAAAATTAATCTCCCATATGCAATCTGTCTGGCACTTTAAATCCACCTCTTCATGAGGTTAGACCACAGGAAAGAATATCTTACTGGCATTCTGCTCTCAGAGAAGGTGAGAGCTCTCTGAACTGGCTTATCGAAGTTCAAAAGCACAGTGCTGGGCACTGAACTTCCTGTGAGCCCCAGGGGTTCTGGAAGCTGGAAGGTTAGAGTTAGGGGGAATCAGGAGCTCCAGATCTGGATCACTGTCAGTGTGGAGGACCCGGACAGATATTGGGGTTCATACCTTAGGGGTTGCATGGGAATTCTGGAGAAGCAACTCCTACCTGCCCTGGTTTGGGGTCACAATGCCTCTTAATTCCCAGGGGTTTTGTGGAGAGGAAATATATTGGACGGCCCGGGTTTCTACAGGCCCCTTTAGAATGAGATCGAAGGTCTTGAGTCCGGCCATCTGTGGCTAGCTTCGCCAACCCTCAGCAACACCAGTTTGTCTGGGAATCAGACTGAGATGGGGTGAAGCCAGAGGCACTCTGTCTGCTCATCCCGCACCTCATCAGCCCTGTTGTCTCCTCTCCTCCGTCGCCTCCAGCAGCTGTGCCCGAGATCTCTGTCATCCTCCACAGTGTTTTGCCCCACCTGCACCTCCGTCCCCTCTTCTCCCAGACCACTCATGTCTCTATGGTCGTGACCCACCGGGGTGCTCCCTGCCTCTTCCTGCTTCTCTGGGCTTTCCCCAAACAAAGCAGGCTTTGCCTTCTCAACATTCAGCCTCATGACATGCATCCATCAGCTGGACAGACTGTTTTCAGATGCGCAACTGGAAGTTAGCGGTGAATGCTTGGGGCTAGGCCCCTACCCTAGGCTGGGCTTGTCTGTTATTTCACAGCCTTTCTCCTCAGACAGTGACCCCAAAGGCCCCCATTCTCTCACTCTGTCCGCCTCTTCTGTAGAGGAAATGGCCTTCAGAGAGTGAGCAAACAAATCAATAAATCTTCTGTTTTCTGTGGAGCTGATTATGCTGTCCTTGCCAAGCAGTAAATCTTCTCCTGGCTGACATGATCCCACGGTGGGTCCAGAGAGAGGCAGTGCCTTGAGCATAATGGCCAAGCAGGCGTTTGAGGGATGCAGGACCTCTCTGGGTCCTCCTGTGAGACTGCACCAAGCTTTCCACACCAAAAATAATGGGCTTACTGCAACATTGTTTCTATTTTCTTTCTTTCTTTAAAAGTTTTATTGCATTTATTTGGGGGGGGGGCGGTCGTGCATGTGTCAGGGCACAGATGTGACAGGGGACAACTTGAGGGACTTTGTTCTTACCTTGTATGTGGGTCCCAGTGTTCAACCCAGGTCATCAGACTTGGTGGCAAGGACCTTTACCTGCTGAGCCATCTTGCTGACCCCTTTTTTCCTTTCTCACTCTCTCTCTTTTCGTACATGGTCTCACTACATAGCCACAGCTTGCCTAGAACTCACTATATATTCTAGGATTGCTCATAGTCATGACAATCCTCCTGCCTCTGCCTCCCAAGTGCTGGAATTACAGATGTGAGCCACCACACCCAGCACCATGCAGTTCACATAAACATTCAGCACGTGAAACTTGAATGGGCCTGCTCTCCCAGTCCTCAGACCACAGTCTCATCTGGGGCTAAACCCACTTAACAAGCTGATGTCATCAACAGGCTAATAGTATTGACATCACCACAGTCTGTGATAACACTGTTGTCTAAACGCACTGGGGCAGGGACACCAATGCCTTCACCACAAAGACTTCATTCAGTGGTTCCAGTGAAGAAGGTGACCTTTGGCCCACAAAGTGTTGCCATATCAGAGAGAAGGCCATGTCTTCCAAAATGCTGGTGATGTCCAGGCCTCCTTCTCGTAATTCTCGAACTCAAAAATATTATATATGCTTTCGTTCCCCTACAGGAACACCCAGCACACCTGTGTTGTGGGGTGGGTTGTAAAAGCCCATTTTCCACCTGCCAAATGGTTTTGTATACTGACTGGGAGCTGCTCCCATCCAGAGTCCAGTGTGACTCTGTCACAGTGTTGGGCCTCTGAGTAATCATATTGTGACAAGTGTAAGGGTGCAGGTTCCCATTCCAACAGGGTGATGTAAGGATGCAGCTTTCCATTCCAACAGGTGATGCTTTCTTGGTCTAAGTGGATTTCCACGCTTATCACAAAGGTTATTTTGCTGGAAAGAGATTCTTCCCAGAGCCCTGCAGGTTACCTCAGCACTGGAAGCTGGTGAAAGGCAAGTGGATCTGGCCCATCTTTGGAACCTAGGAAGCTGCTCAGTGGAGGGACTGCACTGTCACCTGCAGAGTACCATCTCTTGGTGCAGTTCTGGGGAGGTAGCTGCAGACACCAAACAGGATCCTTTAAGCACTGGCATGTTTTCAAAAGGCAGATAAATACCCCAGGGAAATCCCTTCTGCCAAAAGCCCGGTTTCGCAGCACAGCACCCCCAAGCCAGTAATGATAGGGTTTTTAAATGGTGACAAGAGGGGTAATTTTATCTTCCTTTTTGCAAAACTCTTTTATGCAGGAAAATAAACCAGTGGGCACTAGCATCTTGCAGCTGGTGGTGACAGACCAAGACTCTTTTCACAATGGGCCTCCCTTCTCCTTCTTTATTTTGTCGGGAAACGAGGAGGAGGAGTTCGTGCTGGACCCTCATGGGGTCCTGCGGTCGGCAGTGGTCTTCCGGCACACCGAGTCTCCGGAGCACCTGCTATGTGTCCAGGTACGGCCTTCCTGTCCAACCACACCAGGAACCTTTCTCTCCCACACTTGTCCCTGTGCCTGTTGGTTGGTTTTTCTTTGTTGAGCAAGTCAACATAATTCACGGTGGTGAAGGAATGTTCTTCTAATCTCGAATTCAATTTCACACCAATAAAAGTGCCCTCTGTGTGTGAAATTGATCAGGAAGGAAGGGAAGCTTGGCTGTTCAGGAAGGATGTCCCTGTACATTATTCCCGGCACTCAGTCAAAGACCTCGATCAGTACTGTGAAAATTCCCTTGGTTCCCGTGGATACCCAACGGCAGCACATCCATCAGAACGTCTGCTTTGTACTGCCTGTCACTCACCTCACTAAGGGAGGCCACCCATCACTGCTGTAGAATGCTTGGCTACATCCTGGTCTCTGCTAGGTAAGCCTTCCTCGGTGAGGCAGGAGGGGGCCAAGGACTCCACTGGCATTGAGACCAGTACCCCAGTCCTTCAAGTTCAATGGCCTGTGTGACAAGAAACAGCACAGAGAAGTCAAAGTGAGCCAAGCATTGTGGCACACACCTTTAATCCCCACACTGTGAGATCAAGGCCAACCTGGTCTCCATAACGGTCCAGGAGAGCTGGGGCTGCAGGGAGGCCCTGCCTCAAAAAGACCAAGAAAGATCCTGAAGTGCCAAGAGAAGTCACTGAGAAAAATGGCCGAGTGGTCAGGAGTCTGCAAGCTCGTGCAGAAAAGAAGACCTGAGCTCTGTTCCCAGCACCTACCTTGCATGGCTCACAACCACCTATAACTCCAGCTCCAGGGGATCCAATTCCCCTGGCCTCTATGGGCACTGCACTCACATGCGTAGACACACACACATACACACACACACACACACACACACACACACACACACACAATTAAAAATAAAATAGTTTCTTTAAAAAAGAGCTGCAAATTATCATACGTGCAGAATTTCCACCTGTGACTTTGCTAGTACCAACGTCTATATCCTTCCTGTGAAACTGACTCATTTTCCAATCCACTGTTGCCCACAGAGGGCAGCCTAACCCTTACAAGGGGTGGTGATGATGTCACAGTAATTCTATGTGCTTGAACAATGTTGAACTATCTTTTATAGAATAAACTATAACTGAGCGTCCTCCACTCCATTTTTAAAGTTTTATTGTTTTTATTTTATGTGTATGGTGTTTTGCCTGCATGTGTGTAGGTGTACCCATGTTGTGCAATGCCTGTGAAGGTCAGAAGAAGGCACTGGATCCCCTGGAAGTGGAGTTGCAGGCATTTGTTAGCCACCATGTGGGTGCTGGGAATCGAACCTGGGTCCTCTGCAAGAGCAGACAGCTTTTAACCGATGAGCCATCTCTCCACACTCCCTTACTCCATTATTAAGTGTGAGTGTGATCCCCAAGCACGTCCATGACTTGTCCAATTGAGGCCCTTTGTCCTAGAGTAGTACTTAAATAATTTCTAACAATACTATAGAAACTCCAGGGCCAATAGAGATTCCCAGCATCTTCTCCCAACCCCAGTGCAGTTCTCTTAACATCCTCTCCAGTTGCTAGGGAGCAGGTATCACATTTCCCACAGAGAACTCTGATTTGCTCAGGGGAAACACCCCATGCCCTGATTTCCTCCTTCAGAAGAACCTGTTACTGCTTTCTCAGTCCTCGTATGGCCTTCAGGTCGTTCCTCTGGTCTCATGCTCTTCTGTCACATCTCTACACTTCTCCCAGGTTAACCCTCCCACTTCGTGCTATTGCTTGAGGTAAGACATAAGCTAAGGACAGTTCCTGATCCAATTCCTGCCCTTGGCCTGTTTTTATAAATAAAGTTTTATGGGGCTGGAGAGATGACTCAGTGGTTAACAGCACTAGCTGCTCTTGCAGAGCACCCGGGTTTGATTCCTAGCACCCACATGGCGGCTAACAACCGTTACTCCAGTTCCAAGGGAATCCGACACCCAGTTCTCACCTCCTTGAGCATTACACAATATGGGTGCAATTCCATACATGCAGGCAATACAGTCATACACATAAAAAAATAAATAATAACAATAAATAAGTAAAGTTTTATTAGAACAAAACTTTACTCATTCATTCCTATATGCTATGGCTGCCCCCAGGCTGCAAAGACAGAAGCCAGGGTTTGCTGACAGATCATATAACCACAAAGGCTACAATGAAGGTCATTTAGTCCTTTCCAGACAATGTTTGCCAGGTCCTGCCCTAAGATAAAACTATCCATGGCTGACTGGGGCTTGAAAACAGGTCATCATTCCCAGACTTTAGCTTTTGAACATCCGAGTCCTTAGATCGACCTCGTCTTCCCATTCTTCTATGACCACAGACCACGCCCTGCCACCTTATGCCCAGGGACACCAAGCCCTCTGCCACCTTTCTGGAGTCTGGCATTTGAGTGGACAACCTCTGAAGCCTATGAAATTCAAATTCACCACTGTCTTTTGAGGCTGTGTACAGTTTGACTTCAGGTTCAACCTAATTTTCCATTAATCTACATTTCAACATCTCTGATTCATGTAGCCAAACAAACAGAGCATGTGATGAGGGTAATAATACAAGTAGCTACAACCTTATGAGCAACCCATTTTAAGTACTTCTACAGGTGTTACCTGTGCTAAGTACTATGCAATCCCTCTCTTTTTTTAATGCCTATGAGAACTCTGTGAGGCTGATCTTACTGTTAAATTCATATTAAAGATGCAAAACCTAAATCTCAGAGAAGTCAATCAATTCACTTAAAGCCAGATACAGAGACTATGGCAGAGCTAAGTTTCATACTCAGGTCTGTATGATGCCCAGTGGCTTGTCTTTCACTTTTAAGGACACATCTCTGTCTAGTCCTGTCTGCAGGGTCACCGGGTCCCTGAAGATCTGACCCATGGGGACCTGACTTCATTCTAAAGCCTTATACCATCAACCCCCCCATGATGCATGACAGGTGCTCAGTAAAGGTCCGTTGTCATGTGGCCATTCCATCAATTCTTCTATTAAGAAAAGAGAAAGGGGCTTTCAAGTTCCCATTGTCTCTTTGATACACCATTTATAAATTCTAAATTTAACCATGATGTTAACTCTCACCCAACTAATGTCATTTCTTTAATGTGCCAAGAGGTGTCACAGTCAAAAGGAAAAATCCAACAGAGAATAGAGATTCCATCTCCAAGTCAGAACGTAGTTTTATAAGGTTCCCTCTGCTTTCTGTCCAAACTGTAAACAAGAAAGGCTGCTGTGGGCGTGCTGGGTCTTGTAGAGCCTCTGCCTGCTCTTCTAACTCACCTCCAATGGGTTTATTTTGTTGCCACGTGTTATTACCCAGAGAGAGTAAACACAGAGGGACTGAAGGTGACAGATAGGGAGGCTGTGAGTGCATAGCCTCAGCCTTTAACCACAGGAGATGGAGGGAGACACAAACCTGGCTAAAGGTCTAGATGTCTTCTGTCTTGGGGTAATTTATAAATTATCCTTCTTTGTCTTAACTCCTTGTCTGCCGTCCTCTTGGTTTTTAGGCCAAAGACTCAGGAAAACCACAGCAAGTTTCCCACACCTACATCAGAGTGCGTGTCATTGAGGAGAGCGTCCACAAGCCCACAGCCATCCCACTGGAAATCTTCGTCGTTACCATGGAAGATGACTTTCCTGGTGGGGTCATTGGGAAGATCCACGCCACGGATCAGGACATGGATGACGTGCTCACGTTTGCTCTGAAATCAGAGCAGAGGAGCTTATTCAAAGTCAACAGTCACGACGGGAAAATCATTGCGCTGGGAGGGCTGGACAGTGGCAAGTATGTCCTGAACGTGTCAGTGAGTGACGGCCGCTTCCAGGTGCCCGTTGACGTTGCTGTGCATGTGGAACAGCTGGTGCACGAGATGCTGCAGAACACAGTCACCATCCGTTTCGAGAATGTGTCCCCTGAGGACTTCGTGGGGTTGCACATGCACGGGTTCCGGCGCACCTTGCGGAACGTGGTGCTCACCCAGCAGCAGGACAGCTTGCGAATCATCAGCATCCAGCCCGTGGCAGGCACCAACCAGCTGGACATGCTGTTTGCGGTGGAGATGCACGGCAGCGATTTCTACAAGCCTGCCTACCTGATTCAGAAGCTGTCCAATGCCAGGAGGCACCTGGAGAATGTGATGCGCATCGCCGCCATCTTGGAGAAGAATTGCTCCGGCCTGGACTGTCAGGAACAGCACTGTGAGCAGGCCTTGTCTCTGGATTCCCACGCGCTCATGACCTACAGCACAGCCCGCATCAGCTTCGTGTGTCCACGTTTCTATAGGAATGTGCGCTGCACCTGTAACGGTGAGTGTGGCTGAGCTAATCGGTCCTACATTAATGCTGTTTCTCTGCTCTGACAAAATACCTGATAAAACGCCTAGGGGAAAGGGAGCTTATGTTGACTCAGTTTGTGCACAAGTCACAGCAGCAGGAGACTGAGGAGACCCCTGGTCACGTTGTCTCTGAAGTCAGGATTGACGGTGATGAGGCTGGTGCCGGGCTCTCTTTCTCCTTTTTCATTCACTCCAAGGCCCCAGTCCGTGGGATGATGCTGTCCTACAACCACAGCGGGTCTTCTCTCATGAGTTAACCTTTCTAAAACACTTCCATAGATACACCCAGAGGCTTTCTGTTAATATTATTATTTTTATTTTATGTGTAGGATTGTCTTGCCTGCATGTATGTAAGTGTACCTGTGTTGTGCAATGCCTGTGGCAATCAGAAGAGGGCATTGAATTCCCTGGAACTTGAGTTGCAGACATTCATCACCATGTGGGTACTGGGAATCAAACCTGGGTCCTCTGCCAGAACAGTCAGCACTTCTGACCACTGAGCCATTTCTCCAGACCTACCCAGCAGCAGAGTTTTTATGATGATTCTAAATTTAGGCAAGCTGAAAGTGCAGTGACCCTGATACTTTAGTAGACTGGAAGACCATTCCTGCATGCAACCACTCATGCAACTAAATACCAACTACTATGTGCCTAGTAGTCATGATCCATGCTGGGGCAGTAGAAGACACAGGCCTGTCAGTCCCCACAGTTAGGAGCTTTAGCTGAGTGAGCTGCAGAGACACCCACGTAACTGTGCTATGAGACATATAAACTCCTGCAGTGGGCCCAGGGAAGGAGCACCTGTGGGTTGAGATACAGTCAGTAGGAGTTGGGGAGCGCTGGGCTGAGGAAGACTGAGAGGATGAGAGAAGAACCCAGACCAAGGAGACTGAAGGAGCTTCACTCTCCAAGAGGGGCAGCTGTGACAGATGGGAACATAGAGGCCTGTGGCCACCCCAGGCCATTAGCCAAGATGAAGAACTAGGAATGAGCCCAAGGCAGCGGGAGTCATTGCTGATTGGAAGGGGAGAAGTGATGTCCTTTGCAAAGGAGTACAGAGTGGGTGAGCAAGAGGCTGCTGATGGGATGCAAGCTAGGAAGCTGTGACAGAGGGTGAGGGCAGCTCCCTTTGCTCCAGTAAGAAATAGGCCAGATGGCTGGGAACACAGACAAGGGACAGAGTCTGCCCTCTGAGCTGCTGAGACTGAGCTTGCTGTCTGTCCATGTTACAGTCATTGAACCTTGACCTTGGCTGGTCAAAGGTTGTAACTGCACAGCCACATGCCCACAGTAATCAGTGAGAATTCTTTCTCCCTCTTTTCCTTTCTCTGACATGTAGAGCTATAAATTCACAGCCCTCCTCTATGAAAACTGTACCCAGAGCTTTTCTATTCAGTGTGAATTTGGTCCACAGGGACTATGGCCAGAAAGGAAGCCATCTGTAAAACGTCCCTGTGGGTGAGTGGAGAGTCAGCAGCTCTGACCTCTTCCCTTGATGCAAGATTTTGGTTGCAGTTTGGAAAATGAGCTCATCGAAGGGAGGACCTAGGGACCTCAGGCCCCTCCAGGAGTTGTTTTGACAGCCTCCCAGCCTCAAGCACGGGCATTTGCCCTGTGGTACCCAATAACTTCCGCTTGCATTTTCACTGGGTAGATGCAATGGTCACCAGACCTGTAGCATGTGTATATTAGCTGCAAAGTAACTCAGAGCAAGCATGCTAGGTGAGACGCCTTTCTGGCAGATGCCACCAACATGAATGATTTATGAATACCAGCTGCCCAAGCCTCATCTAGATGTCCTTTGCAGACACAGTGATTTGTGCACAAAGCTATGGTAGGGAATCTCTGCAGTGACTCACAGCAGGGTTCAGGAGGAGCTCAGGACAGGACAGGGCAGACTCTGTAGGAGAAGCCACACCCACTTACTAATCCTTGTACTCTGAGAACTCAGAGGAAAACGAGGAAGTACATGGAGACAGTGTGTTCTAGACAGTGATGATTCCAAGTGAAAGCCACGCAGCCTCCCTAGGCACCAGCAATGCTGAGGCCGGCTTGCGAGCCCTACCTGCTGTGACGCTGTCATAAGCAGCAAGACACGGTAGAAAACAGAGTCCTTCCTGTGGCTAACAGAGGTCCGTGATATTTGTACATGGAGACCATATATGTCCTGGATCTTTGGGGATGAATGTGAGTTCAAGGGAGATGGGGGAGGGCAGGCTCTATAGGAAGAACTTGAATGCGTAATTTTTGTTGTGGGTGGCAGGACATACTCTCTGGTTTGTAGATGACTCCAGTGTCCTGATTGTGATATGTTCAAGGTGAGGTTCTCTCCCAGGATGCCTGTCATCCCCATAAGCCTTTCTACTCAGTAAACCTAGCATGCCTTGCAGCGTTTGTGATTCAGTCCCTGCATAGATAGGAGGCCTCCCGGGATGGCAGTGCGCTTTCTCCAGGGAGAGCTCTGCAGGGTCAGGACAAGCTCGGTCATTCTTAGAATGAAACTGAAAAGTAAAATTCTAGATTTTAATGGAGCTCAAAGTGTTATCTGGCTTGGACTCATCTTCAGTAGGTTTGCAAGGAGTATCTCCAGCCTGGGACCACATGCCTGTCCCAGGTACTGTAAGAGCACAGGCTGACTGTGTAAGGATATGAAGCTGTTCCCTCAAGGCTCCTGAGCTGAAGCTTGCCATTCGGCAGATGGGATATTTTTTTAGTATATGACGTGTGTGTACATGTGTTGATATGTGTGAGCACACATGTATGCACATTCATGTAGAGGCCAGAGGTCGACATCCGCATCTTCCTTGATTGTTCTGCTCTTTATGTATTGAGGAGAGTCTCGCTGAGTCCAGAGCTTGCCAGTCTGGCAAATCCAGCTAGTCTTCTTGTTCCAGGGATAGCTTTCTCCACCTCCTGAGCTCCAGGATAACAGCTGGCCTACCACACTCCCTGGCTTTTATGGACTCAAGTCCTCATGTTACACTGCAAGTACTTTACCCACTGAACCACCTTCCCAGCCCCAATAGATAAAATGAACATGTGAGCTCTAACTTCATCTGCGAATTAGTCCACTGATGAATTCATAGTCGGAAGGACTGTTAGCAGGTGGTCCAGCTGAACAAAAGGGTCGGTGGAGACATGCCTCCGAGGGGTGCACCTTGTCCCCTCACTCTTGTCTGTCTCTCTGCTTCCTGGCTTCTTTGAGGTGAGTAGCCCTGCTCTGTCAAAGCCTTTCACCCTGATGTTCTCCTTTACCTCAGATCCTAAGCAATAGAGCGAGCAGGGCCACGGACCAAAGCCTCTGAAGCCATGAGCCGAAACCAAACTTTTGATGTATAGTGGGTTTGCTCAGGTGTTTTGTCACATGGACAAAACACAACTAACACATCTGCATCTTAATCACAAGGAATCTTCCTTCTCCATGTAAATCATCATCTCAGGCATATGTGCTCTGTAAGAATTCTCAGATAACCCTGTTTCTTAACAGCATGATCAGAATGATCCCAGGAAGGCAGAGTGTCTCAGCCAGTTTCCAGTGGCTTACTACAAGTGCTGAACCCCACTCTCAGACATGGGCATGATTTGAGTTGCAACCTAGGGTCTGCATTTGCAGCTTACAAAAGCTGACACTTGTGCCTCTACTGCTGATGAGCAGAAACCCAAACTTTGAGACATAGAACAACAAGTTAAAGAGAAAAAGTCCCTCACCTTCAAGAGACAAGTTATTGGTTGTAATGATAATAATAATAATATCCTTCTTCTTCTAAAGTTTCCTTCTAAATAAGAATATAATAAAGGGTTATGAAGAATAGCCATAGGCACTTTGAGGCATATTTTCATTTACTAGAAATGTAACAGGGCTAGAAAGATGGCTCAGTGGTTAAGAACATTGACTGCTCTTGCAGAGGACCCTGGTTCGAGTCCCAGTACCCACATGGCAGCTAACCATCTGTAACTCAGGTTCCAGGGGAATCCATTGCCCTCTTCTGACCTCCATGGACATTGCATGACACAAATGCACATACAGACATGCAGGCAATACTCTCATACACATAAAATAAAAATAATAAAAAATTTTAGAAATGGGGGGTCATTGAATTCAATAGCTAATCCTCTCTCTCTCTCTCTCACACACACACATATACACACACAAAACTAGTATGGTTGATCCTCTGTTTATCCTGGGAGGCTGACAGATTCATTAAATTGCCTTTCCCACCACTTGGTGGATAATTAGCATGATAAATAGAGGTACTGATCATTCTGTGAGATTGTGGTGATGTTTGCAGGAGCTGGCCTGGATAGTCTACCCTCCTCCCAACTTCCAGCTCATCTTTTTCTCATGCAGATTTTTGGGTCCAATTATCATCATTAGCATCTTGAACTAAAATGCTGAGTTGTGCTAACAAAGTGAATGCAGACTTGAATTTTAGTGCCAAATGAGCTCATTAAGCCCCAGTCACCACAGAGCTCCTCCTTTGAACACAACTGGAGAAACACAGTTCTGATGTCCTGAGATGACTCCAGGTGAACATCGGCACTCTAGTCAGAAAGTCCGACACTGAGTCAGATGAGGAGTGACAGACGGCATGGACCTCCCACGGGGTAAGCAAGAGGAAGAGATGCCAAAATAAGTCCTAAGCCGTGCTGATTATCCATGTTTTAAATTTTTCATTGGCTGCTCAACAATCTGAAATAGAAATATATCAAAAAGGACACATGTGTCTAGAATGGGCTCCAAGGTAACCATCAGCGTTTTAAGTGTTTATGAGAGGCCATGGAAGAATCCACAGCCTGCTTTGTCCTATTTATGCAGATAGGGAACACAGAATGGAACTACACAGCCCCGTGAGGCCCATGGGGCATTTATAGTGGGCGAAGCCCTGTGCTAGGCACTGCGTGAGACAGCACCGTGCCCTCTGCCAGCAGGGGACAGTGTCAGCTCTGCAAAAGAGGATCTGGGGGTACTTC